CCCACCCTAAATAAAAATTATATTAATAGTACTTTCTTTTTTATGTTAATAGATAAAAAAAATTATTTCAACAAATGAATATTTTTTTTCATGATATAAAAAGGTTTTTTTTTTATTTTAACAAAAAAATTAGTTTCATTTCATAATATAGAAAAAATATTTTTCTTTCGTTTCAACAAAATTATGAAGTAAAACGTGTTTTCTTTCATTTCAACAAAAGGGTATTTTCTTTTCATGATGTAGAAAAAGTATTTTTTTTAATTTCAACAAAGTATTTTTTTTTCATTTCAACAAAGTATTTTTTTCATTTCAACAAAATGAGTATTTTTTTTATGATATAGAAAAAATATTTGCTTTTGTTTCAATAAAATGAGTACTTTATTTTCATATTGTAGAAAGAATACCTTTTTTTCAACCCAAAAAAAAAAGTATTTTCTTTTTAGTTATGAAGCACAAATTCCAACGTTGTTTTTGTGTAAAAAAGTAAAGCAACACACTAAATCCTTTGGGTTTGTGTGAATTTTTGAAAGAATAATTAAATTCTTGAAGAAAATAGAGTCCTTAAAACGTTGAGTATTTTGGAGGGGGGAGGGTTAAAGAGTACCATAAAAAATATTTTCTTACTCTCTAACCAAACACTAGAAAAAAAATTCTAGAAAATTTTTTTCCCTCACCAACCAAACAAGGGAAAATAAGTGATAAAGCTACTTATTTTCCTCGTACCAAACCCACCCTAAATTTTTAATTTATACTTAACAAGATAATTTATAACTGTAAACAAATATAGTTTTAGTTACAAGTTTTCAAAAAAAAAAAAATTAGCTTCTTAGAATTCGTAATTAATCATATATTATCACATAAATTGAGATAGATAGACTATTTATCACAAATCGTGAATATCTAATTTACACAAACGGATTTCATTTCAAATTTAAACAAAAGCGATTTTATCTCATTACCTTGAACGCAACCATAGGCAACGAGCCGCGAGTGGGAACTACCGGCCAAGTCGGGATAAAAAAAGCGGCAATATCAAGGAGATACTCCAAAGGCCACGCCGGTTTAAATTTATTGCTAATCCCACACATTGCTCCATTCAAAACGACACCGTCGAACGGTCGGCGGGGAGCAGTATCACCCTGCCGGAGAGTGATTAGCAGTGCGATAGCGCCACCGAGAGACTCAGCGTAGAGGAACGACGGGAGAGACGGCGGCGCGTGAAGATCCCGAAACGAATCGAAGAAACTAATGCAGTCGTCAACAACGAGATTTAGGTCTGGTATATGAGCGACAAGACCGTCGGAGAATCCATGACCTTGGTGATCAACAGCGCAGACGATGAATCCGTGTTTGGCGATGTGAACGGCGGTGAGCTGAACGAACCAGTTAGACTCGCCGGTGAAGCCGTGGACGACGCAGACGACGCCGATGATTTTCGCCGGAGGGAGTGGGATCCACCACTGAGTAAAAAGCTTAAGGCCTCGTGAATTGGTGATGAATTCGGAGTTGTGAGTTACTGAGTGGTGAGAGTAGAATTCGGATTGGCT